TTTTTTTTTTTTTTTTTTTGTGCTATGTTTGAAATAGGAGAGGTCCCAGTTTGAGAGTGTTCTGGGTTATCTACTAACCTAAGTGAGGAGGTGATTCCAGGGAGTAACTCCTTAGTTGCCAGGTGAACATAAAATCAACTTGGTTCTGTTGTTAGTAAGAGAAATGGGCAGAGGCGGAAAGAGGGCCAAGTAAATACTAGGGCCAGGCACATCGATTGTCTCCTTGAACTCTTCTCATACCTATGAGGGAATGTGCCACATTCGCATCCTATAGATGGGAAAAGCGAGACTCAAGTTTAAGGAACCTGGCCAAGGTCACACCTTGACCTGGGGTCTGTCTCAGCCCCTAACCCTCTGTCCTATTTCCTGTGCTGCCCTACCTTCCCGTAGCAGCTGACCATTTGGGAGCTGGTGTAAAGGGCCCGTGATAAGTCATTGGTGCTGCTTCTTTCAAGGAAGACTTAGAATTGAAGCATTTGTACTTTGGGAGTGAGGTGGGGTGGAGGTAGCAAGTGGAGATAAGGAGAGTATTTGGTGGGAGAGAACGTTTGGTAGGCTCACATTTTTTTTTTTTTTTTGGCAGGATCACATTTTTAGTCTTCTGGCAGTTTAATGAAAGAAAGCAAGGGGCTTCTTTTCACCAACTGGGATAATTTTCTGAGGGAACTCAAAGAGACTAGCAATGCAGACTTCTGTGAAATAGGGCTTTTTAGTTTTCCTTTGCTCAGAGTTAAATTTTGCACCGTTTTTTGAAGTGGTTGTGTGGTACGGTGGAAAGAAGACTGGCTTTTCAGACGCTGGAAATTGCAGATCTTAGATGAAAGAAATATAGATCATCTAGCTCAGCTTTGAGACTTGAAAGGCTTAAAAAAATTTTTTTTTAAAAAGATTTTATTTATTTGAGAGAGAGGGTGTGCGTGCGCGCGCATGGAGTGGAGTAGGGGCAGAGGCAGAGGGAAAAGCAGGCTCCCCACTGAAGAGGGAGCCAGGTGCTGGGCTCGATCCCAGGATCCTGGGATCATGACCCGAGTTGAAGGCAGATGCTCAACTGACTGAGTCACCCAGGCACCCTGCAAGACTTTTTTTAATTGAAATTTTTAATTGAGATAATTGTATATTTACATGCAGTTGTAAAAATTAATACAGGGCGATCTGGGATACCCTTTACCCAGTTTCTCCCAGTGGTAACATTTTGCCAAACAATGATACAGTATCTCAAGCAGTATATTGATACTGATACATTTCACAGATCTTATTCAGGGTACTCTACTTCTACTTTACTTGTGTTTGCCTATTTAGTTTTTTGTCACATGTAGGTTCAAGAATCCAGCTCTGCAGTCAAGATACAGAACAGTTCTTTACAAGGATCTCTCATATTATCTTTATAGCCATACCCACTTCCCTCCCGCTGCTTTCTCTAATCTCTGGGGCATTATCTGTTCTCTATTTCAAAAGTGTTCTGTAGAAGGAATCATGGAGTATGTGACCTTTTGGAATTGGCTTTTTATTTTTTATTTTATCTATTTATTTATTTAAGATTT